CATTGGTCCCGTTAGGCTCCTTGGCTGGGGACCTCAGGATGATCGCACCCGATGGTTAGAGACAATGAGTGATACGGTTGAGTGTCGTAAACAGTGGCGTTCCTGCATCTTCTCAATTTCTTTGCAACCTTAGACCACTGAAATGGTCCAAATGGGCAGCCAAAAGGCAGCAACCAAAACCGGCGCACGAAAGTGCATGGTTAATGGTTGTACAAACTGAAACTGAAACCCACAAACACCACTCACCTCAGACTTCCAATTGCTTGTTCGAGATTGCGTAGGACAACTGCCTAGAGAGCCTGTTCGTCCGGTCAGTTCATCGGGGATCCCTTTGACAAAAGCGGAACTGTCCATTGAACCGCCCAGTTTGGACTGAGCCATTCGCTGTCCCAGACCCATACAGGGCCGAATTGCTGGGCTTGAATGGGCCGTGTTATCCTGACGGTCTGGGGGATTTGTTTTGTACTGACCATTTTCGTTCGCCACACGAACAAGTTGTGCTAGTCGATCGCGTTCACGAATAACTCGTTCCAGTTCAACACGTAGTCGGGATATAGTGTTCTGGTATTCAGTGATTTGTGGGAAAGATGATGGAAGTAAGGAGAGATGAATAGATGGTGAAGGAATGGCAAATTTTAAAACCACCACCACTACCCTGACGAGTACTCACAAAGACGAAATAGCTGTCTGGTGCTTTTTTATCTGTCTGTATATACAAATTGTCATCATGGACGAAGCCATAACGGCATGGTTACGTTATTGAAAATTGTTTCTTGTAGCTCGGGTGAAGTGGATTCCATTTCGCATGTTCGCCGAGCGTGGCAAACGTTTCGTCACCAGCCGAGGTGACATCATCAGTGCTTGTGATGTCCCCTTGGTTTGTTTCGAAGTCAAATTTGTGTGAGAAACATGGAGATGAGGAAGAACCGCATAGGAGACACAAAATCTTAGCGCATTATATAGACGAAGTCATATATAACTGATTTATGGAACACAAGTTTCGAGTAGCAATGGCTGACCCGGAGGCAGTATGTTCCAATTCCATTTTCACCGTCTAACTACTTCAGGCCAGTATAAGTCCCAACGCAGCGTTTGATTATCCGCTTCGGTCTTTTTCGAAGCGGTCATACATTTATTTGATGAGTGAATGTAAGTCGCAGAGTAATTGAAAAAAAAAGACTCTGCATTCGTGACAGATACAATTTGATTTCGATCAGCGTAAAATTGAGTCTCCATTGGATAGGCGAAAGTGATTACAGTCCGAAACTGAGTTTATGATGGTGCTCCGCCAGTGAATGATATAAAATCAAACTGCATGCCAAATTCAGTGAACTCTTCAATGGGCCTAGTGATAAGTTCTCTATGGGAAAATACATGTTTTCTCCCTTTTGTCACCCCCCCACCCACTCCAAGATCAAGATTTACCGCACTGTTAGGTATAGTGGTGAGCATCTCCGCGTGTCACGTAGAAAACTCGAGTTCGCTTCCAGGAAGGAGGAAGGTACCAATCAAAGGTCGCCATACAACACACAAATAGGGGAAGATCAGGCGGTGATGTTGGGAATCGAACACACGTCTTCCGGGGTGAAAATTCGGTGGTGTTATCACCGAGCCATCAGCGTGGTTGTGGTCAAGCGGTAAATGTCACCAAATTACAGCTCCTGGGGACGCGTATTCGAATCCCATCATTTTCTCCGTTGCGTGGCATCCCTTTAATTGGCCGCTTCCTTGATCCTAGAAATGGTATCATAATATAGTTAATAAACATATTGGATAGACCAAGAAGTGGAAATGTTATGCGACCGGACGAACATAACCAGTTTCCAGCCTCCTAAGAATGCACAATTCTATCTTTTTCTAGGCTAAAACAAGAGATTTGCAGGAACAATCAAGGTTCGTTTGGATTCGATCGAAGGGACAGAATATGCGCACTGGGAACGTTCGAAACCCTGCCCTGCCCTCCCCCCTAGTTCCCCCGCAATCCTACTTGGCAGTGTTCATCGGGTTACCTGTAGCCATTTCAACAGCACTTTCTTCCCTAACATGACTCAGTAACTGCAAAGCACAGTGACAACCGCTGACAGTAAATGACCATAATCAATCTACGGCACGCATCATTAGACTGATTGTTTTATCTCAATCTATTCAGCAGACTTGTGCACGTGCCCTCAATTGCTATAGCGTGGAAGAGGTAATCGCAGGTGAGCTAGTTGAACATCCGGAATGAAAGTCAAGTATTGGAGGTGATCTGACGCAAACCAATGGACTGTGACCTGAGAAGCGTTATTAGTTAGCCTGTATTTCTATCAGTCACAGAATTTTCTGAAAGATGACGCATTCACTGGTGTCACGTTTTGTGAAAAAAGACAAACAATATGAGTAGGGATGAAATTCAAACAGATCACCACTACCCGTTCGGGGCTGAAAAAAAAGAACCCAGACAGGGAAGACACGAGATGCACTCAGCAGTGGTTCGCGGTGAGAGAAGCGTTCCCGTCTGCAGGTGCCCGAAAAAAAACCCGTTGAAGCTGGCCAAAAGTTTATGGTGGCTTTGAAATTAGTGGTCGTGTTAATCAAACCCCGTGGTACGCATCTGCCGTCAAGTAAATTTTATCGGGATGTATTTGTGAGCAAATTCACCAGCGCCTCTCTGCTCTGCCCGTTCAATCAGACAAATCGAAAACTGAGCCAAATAGCACGATACAATTCTGATCAATTTCGGCCGATCGGCCAGTGATGGTGGCAACGATCGTCAGTGCCTTTTTTCTTTCGGATGCTGTCACCCTGAATGATACTCTCTCGTTTGGTTCGGAAGCGGGGTGTGGTGATAAAACAGTGGCTAAGGCGATTACGGCATACGTGTGCGTGTGTGTGGGCACACCGGCACTGTGTATGCTTCGGATAGGAAGCTGAGGTCGGTAAAAGTTCTCAAGTACAGTGATTGCAAAACCCGAAGGCAAGAAACGGATTCACTCTGTTCCAGGTCTAGGCGATCGAGTTGACGCAATGCAGATGATAAATACGAGCACACGTGCACACACACGCCAAATGGGTCCAGCGAGTGAGTGCACCGAGTTAGCTAGATGGACGACCGATTGAACCAGTGTGTGAGTGATGGGGGAAGGGACATCTTAATGGAGTTCATCGTTCTCTTTCGGTTCTCCGTTTGGAATAATCTATCATTCCAATCCAATTTGGACGGAGAAATGAAGTTTGCTCGACGGGACCATGTCTGTGGTTATTACCATAAGCAGTACAGTGATTGTATTTTGCCAAATCGGTTTTTGTGTTCGTTTTTCCGATTTGATTATTGTTTGGTACTGATTTGTAGCGGCAGCTTCACATCGAGTTGAACGAGTATGAGTAGAAGGGTGTCGTGTATAACACTATTTGTCTACTGCATATCGCTGTACTTATAACATTTCTTTTTTTATACGTTTTAGCCTATATGCCAAAGTTGTTAGGTGAATAAAGTCTTACATCTCCGGGCTCTCAATCTTCTCTTTCGAGCAACTATCGACTGTTTTCACCTCGTATTCAGTATATAACAATTTATTCGTCTAACAATGGATCAACCTTATCGACCGGAACGCTTCGACGCGGATTCAAGTTGTCCCTCAACCGCGAAAGTCTGGAATCATTGGCTTCGCACATTCACCTTGTTTATCGCCAGAGCGGCGGAATCAGATGACGAAAAGCTGGAGCACCTCATTGGAAGCGTTTCTCCCACCGTTTACGAGTATACGTTGCAATGCGCTATGACGATTTTAGAGAAGCTTTACGTGAAACCGAAGAACGAGGTTTTTGCGCGACACATACTGTCTACCAGTAAACAGGAGGCAGGTCAGAGTTTTGAGCAGCAGAAACTGAAATCACTTGCAACTTCGTAGCCGTCACGGCCGAACAAAATCAAAACAACGCCATACGAGATGCTTTCATCAGTGAAATGCAGTCCAGTAGCATCCGCCAACGCCTCTTGGAAAACCGGACACTGGACCTAGAGATAGTATACGAACAGGCTAGAACCTTCGAGATGGCATATCAACAGTCCAGCGTTTTCCACCCAGTCGATTCCGATTACACAGCTGCAGTCGTTGACCCCAAGCCACACACCGAGTCTACATCGAACTTGGTGCCTCGCCAACCCAATTCACTAGAAGAAAGTATAGCCGCTATGAGCAACATTCGCTGTTTCTTCTGCGGATATTCCAATCATCCTCGTTTCAAATGTCCGGCTAAAGATGCAATCTGCAAGTCTTGCGGAACAAAAGGACATTATCAGAAGGTTTGTCAATCCAAGCCAAACTCAAATTCATCGTCTAACATCATCCATCACGCTCGCTGCAGCTCCATTTTGTCTGTCTAATGCAGTTATCCGGCTCTGTGTAAACGGAATATCTCTTCAGACTCTCACTGACACTAGCAGTTCTGCTAGTTACATATCGAATGCTGTGGTACGAGAACATAAGTGGAAGGTCGAAAAATCTCCATGGCTTCGATGAACTTAACCAGTTTCACCCACGGACATTGCCTTGTTAAGTTTCTGTATAAGAACCATCGTTATTCGAATATCAAGCGTTCGGTGTTAGATAACCTCTGTTCATGTCGTCCTTGGACGCGATTTCTTTCGATTAAACTAAAAAATAGAAATTCCGTTCAATGGAGTCAAAGATTCGTTTTCGGTCTGCAGTGTAGACAAAATCAAGATACTGGGATATGATTCTCTCATAGATCCATCAAACCCGACCCGGACCGTCTACGACCCCTGTGGGAGCTGCCGCCTCCTCGAGATCAAAAATTGATGCTTCGAGTTATTGGGTTATTCGCTTATTATTCTCAGTGGATATCTCATTTCTCTGACAAGATTAACCCTGAGATCAACAACAACACATTCCCGCTGCCTACAAGCGTCACAGC